TACTTTAATCAATAAAAATTTGAGTTATCCGACATTTGAAGATCTCACATCTGAGATTTTAAATCTTCCAGCATGCTTCTAGTATCATTTTTTTTGCCGTTCTTTCCTTGTATATTTGTGTATACTTGCAGGTTCAATTATTCGAATTTTGCATACCTCAATTAAACCAACAACAAGCGAACGCGAAATAAAAATATGAAAAAATATCATACGGACGTCCGAGCGTGTGGTGCGGAAGTGTTTACAAGTTGTCTATTTCCCCGGTATATCAGTCCGACGAAAAACAGAGTGCGAACGTCTCTCAGACTAGAATATCAATCACCGACCATGTCCAATATATCGTTGGGTCTAGCGGGACGAAATGCGCGAACATCGGCCATTTACCGGCCCCGGCAAAAACCACTCCGAGCGTACACGACAGTGAACAGAAGTCGTGGAAGCGCGAGGGGGTTAATTTTCGAATTCGAGTCCGTGGAAAACGGCTAAGAAGACGGACAAGCTCTTTACGGAGCAGCGCGAAAGTTGCTTCGGCCTCTCTCAAATTATATCTTTTCCAAGATGAACGTTACATACCGTAATGCTGTAGAAGCAAATCGTAGATAAATTGCCTTATGTATCTCGCCATTAAAACCGTAATTACGAGCGTTAAAGGCGATCGTCCGTTCGCGAGTTTTGCAAGAAAGTATATCGGAAAGAAAGGGGGGGGGAGGGAGCGAGAAGGAAGGTAAAAATAATCGCGCGGAGAGGCAAGAAAATAAATGCCGTCTAACGACGACGATGACGAGGGTGACGACGACGACGACGATCGCACGCGTCCGCCCGCGCGCAACACACTTTAACTTAATTAACTCGGCTAAATTGCGCCACGTAAGTTACGTAATGCGCTTCGAGTTTATATCGCCGGCGACCGAGCGGCGCACAGAAGCGCCCTGAAATTGCTCATTAATAGCGGCAATAACGTTATAATTAGCGGGGCACGCGGGCGCGTGAACTCACTCGCCCCTCGTCGTTTCGTGTGTGTCTCTGTAGCGAGATCGCTCGCGAAAGTACCTACTTATGGATCTTGGTATGTCGTCGACACAACGACCGACCGTCGTCGTACACGACGGAGTTCCGCTTAAATGGAACGAGCGTCTCCTCGGGGGCGATCGCGAACCGACGTTCCCGATATCGGGACGTCAAAGTCGCGCTGAATTGCGGGTGACCCGTAAACGAAAGGAAAGAGAGGAAAAAGTAGAGTGCAGCTGAAAGTTTTGTTTTCATAATAATAATGTGATATGATGCTGTAAGGGGGGCGCGATTATCATGGAGCAAGAGTTAGCGGAGCGTGGCTGCCCACAAAAATCATTTCTCTTTTATATATATATATATATTTTTTTTCTCTTTTTTTACCTTGAACCAAGTCAACGACAAAAAACGCACGGTTACGTTAACTTTTATCTAAACAGAGACCTATTTCTTCTCGTTATATTTCTCTTAGTTTTATGGTGTAAATCTACGTAATCACATAATGTAAGCGGAAGTATTTCGTAGTTATCCAAGGCGCGAGTCACCTCGTTAGATACCCCTTCGATTCTTCATCTCGTTAAGCGGGTTCGCGTAATCAATAGGCGCGCCACTTACAATTAGTCAAACCGCGCGTCTCGCTAATTAATCATCACGACTCGGCGCGTGAAGGTTAAGACGACGGGAATTAGACGATTCTCGCAAAAGTTGCTCGCGAGCGCTGAGTGACGAGAAGACAGGCGGGATGACGGAGTGCTCAACTAACGCAATTAGCTTGCAGAAGGTGATGCATGTCGGTCCACGAAAGATGTAGTCGCGACGTAACGAAATCCGACGCGCTTTATATAATTATTACCCGAGTTGAGATTTACGTGGAGTGATAAAAATGCGCTAGATATGTATGCATATCGTACGTAGACACGGACGGATAACTCCACGTATAAATATAAAGAGACGTATTCTCGCACTGGGACTACTTTATATCTCATAGGCATATGCTCTTGCGTCAAAGTAAAGTGTTTTCAGAACTAGTTAAAATTTAAAAGTAGTTTATTAAATTCGACATAAACTGATAGGTAAATGAAAAACTTAATTGCCTATCGATTGATATCTTTCTAAACGTAATGTAGTTTACGAAACGATTTAAAGTTTATTTCCGAGCGATTTATATAATATATAAAAACAATATAAAAAAACAAGAGCAGATAATAGAATAAAGGATGTCTCTCAGTGTTCCGATAACATTATAAAGTTGGAACTGTTAAAAATGTAAAAAAAAGTAAATACACACTGAGAAAAAAACGCTGTTGAATCAACACAACATTAGTCTAATTGGAAGATTAGATTTTGTTAATTCAATGACATTATTAATGAAACCAAGATCTTGATTATTAAAACAAGAGCACGATATACTGTTTCATTAGTAATGTCATTGAATTACAAAATTATTTTCAATTAGGCTATGCTGTTGACTCAACAGTCATTTTTTTCTCAGTGCACAAGTGTACAAGAGATCTGCGTGATACTGCGAAGCAAGAAATATATTTCTTCAATCTTAATTCTAACTCTTAATTCTAATTCACTAACCTACGTGAAAGCCGATGAGGTGTCTGAGCTCTGGATCAACTCCCAGACGAGCGCGTCGGGACGTATCTTGGTAGCCAAGCCTTTGAAGAAATTGATCCTGAATTTCCAGCGGCTTCTCCTGGGATGCCAACCTCCTGCCTGGCTCACCACCATACTAGAACATAAATTCATGAAATGTTTATTATAACAATGAATAAAAGTAGCACGACGAACATCGTATTCAAGTGAAATTTGTGCTAAGAAAATATTAAAAACATAAAAATATGTACGTGTTTCAAGCAGAATTTGTAACTTTCATGAAAAAAGATTAAGCTAAGTTAAATATTTCACAACATGATTATAATGACTGATAAAAACGTTTAATTAAAGTAAAAATCTAATGAGGATATCTGATGTTAATGCTAATTTATTGCAAGTAATATGTTTCACTGCTTTCACAGTGAAACTAAATTTTACAATTTATCGATATTTTATAAATGTTTCAATAAGCTTTTAAGAAGTAAGTTATTCCTTCAGAGAATTATTCATTGTTTCTTTTGAGGATTAGGAAAATATTTTTACGCAATCTCTTTAACTCTTGTTATTTTCTTTCTGTTGAGTTAAGCCTTTTATATTTTTGACATTATTGTTTCTAATGACATTATTCTTCAAATAAAATATTATTGTATTGTATCTTTAAAAGTCATAGCAGAATTTTAATCGTAAAATTAATTGCCAAGATATTAAACAATAAGAATCGAAGAGCGTTAAAGTGGATCCGATTTGCAAGGTAGATTGGCCGAGTCTAAGAAAGCAGATAATAGAAGCGTATTCTGTTACGTACGTAATTAATTCGCAGTGAATCTTCATTAATTACGAATCCAATTATCAGATAATTTATTACTACTAATTAAAGGATTATAAGTAAAGTAGAAAATATAGAAAGTTAAGATTTTAGTTTTAATTTAGACATATTAGATATTCTAGATAAGAGTTTACGTATTTAATCTTTCAATAATGTAAGCTGTATACATAGTTAGAATAATTTAAACTTAATTAATTTGTAAATGTAAATACTTTTAAGTTAAATTGATTTTAAAACAATTACTCATTACAAACTTTAAATCTAATCTTTTTAATTATATAAACCATCAATTCCTTTTTAATTGCAAGTTAAGCACATATTGAAATAAAAATGTGAAAAAAGCTTAAAATTAAGCTTTTTCTATAAAAACTGGATTTTAATTTTTTGAAATATAAAATAATATTATATTATTGCATAATTTTTTCTCTACAGATATTTACAAGTAATTATAAATATAGTGTATTGTTATAATACATAAAACTGCATAAATCATCAGACCTATTAAAATTTTACAAAAACTGGTAGTAAAATATGTGAACTAACATTTCGGAAATTAAAATCATTGTTGTCATAAGTTCTATTATACAAATTTTTGCATCATTGAATATTTGTCAGAGATATTTGGACATGTTTTCGGAGTATGGTTTATTTTTGTAAAAATATGACTATCTTGGATTTCTCGCGGATTTTCGACGAAAATAATTCTCGTCTGTTGGTTTCCACAGGTTTATAGGTCACATGTGAAGAACTTTAACTTCTTAACGACTGCAGACTACAGACGAAATATGTTCTTCGAAGTTAAAAATTTCTAGTGCATGTACGAAGTTTAAAATTACATGATAAAGTATATATAGACATTATATTGCAAACTTTGATTTTTTTATGCTTATAAGAGAGGGAGAAGAATTTTCTTCTTATAAAAAAAGAAGTATTATATATTACTATGAATTATATATATAATATATATTTAAGAGATTAATTTTAATCCCAATATAATCCTAATAAGATTTATATCAACTTTTATTAATAAATTATAACTTATTAATTTATATTATAATATATATTAATATATAATATATATTAAAAACTTGTTAGAAAACGCAATAAATTGCATTTTCTTACATGAATAAGTGCAGAATGTGTAAGCTATAAAATATATCGCGCAATAATCTCACATAATAATCAAATATATATACAATTATATATTAATATTGAAAATTTATTTTCATTATAAATTGATAAATTTTGAAACTTTCAAAGTTTGGGTATCAAGCTTTCGTAAACACGTTTCTATTTCGATCGCGCTTATTTGCACCATTTTGAATTTGTTATTTGTTTCATCGATGCCGTAAAATAAACTCATGCGGAAAGTTTCCAATCTATTTTGAACCTTGATACGTTTTAAGAATTTTCAGCAGTTTCCAAGTTTCAGATCGGCTGTCAAGAACGACGGATTCTCCCTGGGAAAATCATCTGCCAGATCGTCGAGCGAGGCTTTCAACATCACGTCAATCGCGAACTTTCTCGGAAAAAGTCGTACTTTGGTCAAACACCCCTTTTAGGTAGCAATCGGCTGAACTTTGGCAACTACGATTTTCGCACAGAAGTTGCCGCTTCGCTAAATCGTATTGCGTCACGACTTATTCACTACAAATTTTGTTCCTCGTTCGATAATACTTTAATTATCGCACTGTAGAATATGATATCAAAAATTATGTGTTTGTAATAGAATCACATTTCCTAGCAGTTTGCATGAGTTTTCACGTATTTATTACGCGTATTTATCACACGTAATTCGAGTTTTAAAATTAACGCAAATATATATCTGCATCCCTGCAAATGGAAAATAATAGAGATTTACGATTGAAATCCGAGTTATAAGACAAATAACGCAGTTCGTTTTTGATTTATTTAGTATATGAGAGTTTGCTCACATGGGATCTGCTTAATTAAACATGGATTGTATTACATTTGTTTTTCTCATTAGAACAGATTTCTGTAATTCTCGTTTCCTAATTAATTAAAATAAATTTAATAAATTGTATTATATTATGTGCTATTACCGTTATATTATGTTGACTTTGTTTATCTTGCATCTTGATAATTTTTATAAAAAATATTTGAAGAGTACATTCAGGACAAGTTTTAAGAAGTTTTAAGTGCCGTTAGAAAGAAAGTTAATTTTCATGACTTCTAATATCCTTTTAATATGACTTTAATATTTGATACCCAATTTGTAATTACTTTTCTTCTACGAGAAACGTTAATCTTATGAAACGTTATCTTACAAGATCTTACAATCTTCTATTGAATTGATAATTATTATCTATAATACAATGTCGTATCAGCTTTATCCAATTGGTGATCTATTTGCATGAACTCGATTTGCATGATTTTGCCGGAATACTCGAGAAATCGCATTTGTAATAAAACGAGGAGACTGCCATTCAAAATGCATTAAAGCCATCTATCCGAATGCGCCGTGCAGTCTTTCGATAATTCCGTAATCTGGGAAACGGTTTTAATTTCGTGAGATAAAACGGCGCATAGCACTTCGCGAGCAAGGGGAGACATTAGTCGTGACATATGCGCCATAAAAAATTGTAATTCCGGAAAGTGGCCTGTAAATAATAACCCGGTTAGCCACAGGGGTAAAGAGATTAATCATGCTGCGCAATAAATAGCAAGCGAATGCGACCGCATGTATATATCATCGCTGGCGCGTCGGATTTTCTAATTTTTGGCCTGGATAATTTCAAATAATCTCTGCAATTTTGATAGATTTTTTTTTTTTTTTTAGTAAAATGCATCAAAATTACAGAGAAAATTTATAATCATATTATTTCGTAAATTATTTTAAATGCTGTTTCGCGATAACGTTGCCATGAATTTGAATACTTCTTTTTTGATATGCTATATCTTTATATTCATGAAATTAATATAACGGCAGCAATACAATGTAGCATGAAAATAACAGCAATACGTAGTTATATTATAGTATTGATATAGTATATATACGTGACTCGATGTTACATTGATCTTTACAGATCAATGTAATAACCGGCAATTGGTTTTTATTTCGCGGCCGTTATTAAATTGGTGCAAAAGATTTGTCATATTTGTAAAATAAAATTGAAAACAAAGTTTTAGCAGAACCGAAGCAAAATTGGCGCTACGAGCTTCAGAGAGAACTGTTTCAAACTCCCTTTCAAAGAACTATATATTTTCTAGCTTTATTCAATACAAAATTTAATGGAGAAACGACAGACTTTGAACTATCTAATCTAATATAAAATTGAAAAGTAGTAGTAGATAAAGATATTGTATCAAAATATTGCTTTTTAATCTTTAAGCCGTAATAATGATTTCATGCGCAATATAAATATAATGCAAATATCGCAAACGTCGACTACGTACCTATTTAACTATAGTTATATGTCGAAATTTGATATCCAATTTTTATATAATTAAGAATTTTTGAGTACAGTGATTTTATAAAAGTGAAGATATAAAGATAGATATTATATATATATATATATATATATATATAATATATTATATATATAATAAATGCCATCAAATTATTTCACCTAATCCCTGGATAAAATATTTACGCGTCCATGATTGAATTTACGACACATTTTCAAACGTTTTCATTGCGTATGTGCATGTTTCTAATCAAACGCTTGAATGTGAGTGCAAATTGATTTTCACGTTAAGTCACGCAGATATTTTTTTCCGACTGCTCTTTTGTAATTGACATAGAATCACGCTTGGAGGCACCCGAAACGAAAACTGTTTGAAAGCAAAGGGAATCATTTGGGAATGTTCATCCCGTAGACGGCAAGAAGAGATGAAACGACGTCGTCTCCTCGCTCGGCATGAAAGGGAGGCTCTTCATTAATGAAGAGAGCGTAATTAAAGACTCGAACACTTTTGGGGTAATCATATTTCTGCGTGGAGCAACTCACTCAACCGATCCGGATGATCCATGAATTTTCGACTTTCTCGCCGCGTTCGCGGATTTAGAAATTAATTGCTGCCACTGAGTCAGCGGCAGTCTAATCTTGGTTGAAGTCTGGATCTTGAACTAAGGACACCAAGCAACGAGCTCTTCACTCCCTTTGAGTCTCAGACTTATCTATCTCGTCTCGCATCACGTTGCTTTCGCGATGTTTTAAAATATTGACAATAAATTGTGCAAAATATTTATATAGTGCTTAAAATCAATATTTATCTCAGATGACAATTTAAAAACAACGCGATTACATTAATATATAAAGTATATTAAAACAAATAGAGAGAGAAAT